GTGCGCGGCTGGAAACGCTCGCGCTGGGTGATGATTCACGGCTGGAACCCACGCCGTGCGCCGCTGGAACGCTTGCGCTCGGTAAAATGCATGACTCGAACCCGCGCCGTGGGCGGTTGCAACGTTCCCGCACCCGCTCGGTAAAAATGCATGGCTGGAACCCACGCCGTGTGCGGCTGGAACGCTCGCGCTGGGTAAACATGCATGACTGGAATCCACGCCGTGAGCGGCTGGAACGCCCTCAAAATTAAGACTGGAACCACCCCTTCTTGTCGGCATGGGCGGCTGGAAGACTTTCCCTCGTAGAAGCTGAGGGTTGGAATGTCACCCGAATTAGGGCTTTATGAATATAGACAAGTCGAGGGGGGAGGGCCAGGGGCGGGGGCCCTACCATTGTTACCCACGCCTCGTTCCCAAACTGGGTCAATCCTCGCGCTCGTCTGTTGGTCAGTCGGTCCGTCGGTCGTCGTCGTCGTCGTCGTTGTCGTCGTCTCGGTCCGTCGGTCGATCGGTCCGTCGGTCGTCATTGGTCGTCTTCTCGGTCGGTCGGTCGGTCAGCCGAACGGTCGGTCGTCGTCGGTCGTCGGTCGGTCGTCGTCGGTCGTCCTCGTCACGATCGCCGGTCGTCGGTCTACAGCCGGAACCCGCCCACGCCATGGCGCGCTCCGAAAGCGCGCCACTGGAGCCAAAGCGGCTACGGATGCTGCGAAGTTGAGAACAAGACGTTGGACCCAAAATCTGCCCGATGTGATATGCTCAAGAAAATGTCACTACCAACTGAAGTCCACTGACTGTAGGAATCCACGAAGAGTGGCGACAGTTGCGCAATTCGCAGCCACTCAGACAGCTGCGAAGTCCCGCCAGGAGGCGCGTACAACTCCATGTCGCTGGACCTCCCAGGAGCCCACGAGAGCGGTGACAGTTGCGCAGTTCGCAGCTACCGTGGGAACTGCGAGGTCCCGTCTGGATGCGCGTACAACTCCACTTCGCTTGACCTGCCAGGATCCCACCAAAGCGGCGACAATTGCACAGTTCATAGCCAGCCAGGAGCAGCGCAAGAGGAGGCAGGAGGGGGAAGGAAGAGGAGAAGGAGGAGGAGGAGGAGGAGGAGGAGGAGAACGTCCTTGGAGACCAGAGTGCTCTATTCAAAACGAGGACCCAACACAGGCTGGTTGGGAAGAAGACCCAAAAAAACATCCATGCATGCATACGTATTCATCTAGATAGATGCGCATATCTGCACATAGCTGCATAAAAGCGTGAACATATGCTGATCATATTTTCTTTAAAAAGAGGGAAAACACAAGAAACAAAAAAAAGGAAACCAAAAAAAAAAACGCTGGCGTCGAGGCCACGCGCGCAGCAGCGCGGCGGAGTCAGGCGAGCGGCCGACAGGGAAACTCGGCGCACGCGAAGCTGGGCGCGCGGACGGGCCCAGCCCACAACGCCACGATGTCTGAGTCGCCCCCCCCCTCCTCGCACTACCGCCCCCTCGGGCGCGCCTCCTCGGCCCCCCTCCTCCGTCCACACTCACACACACACACACAAAAACAAACAAACAAGCAAAGAAAAACATCCTACGCGACGTACTCAGAGCTTTCTCGGGGGCGGCCAAGAGGGGGGCATCCAACAGGGGGGGGGCGCAAATCATGGCCAGCGGCACATGCGCGGCCCAGGGGGGAACCGGGGACGCATTGAAATAAGCAGAGGCGCCACGAAATGTAGGGAGATATCATGGCCCACGCCATGATATCCCCGCCCCCCCCCCCGTCATCACCCCTCTCTTGGCCGCGCCAGACTTTCCCCCCCCCCATCGGGCGCGCCTCCTCGCACTACTGCCCCCTCGGGCGCGCCTCCTCGGCCCCCCTCCTCCGTCCACACACACACACACAAACAGGCAAAGAAAACATCCTACGCGACGTACTCTGAGCTTTCCCCCTCCCCCCGTCGGCCGCCCCTCCGCGGCCTCTTTCCCGCCAAGGCGCCCCGCTACGGCGGCCCCTGGAACCGCACCGCGCCGCTCCGCCGCGCGCCCCGCCTGCGGCCGCCAGGGCCGTCCGGGCCGGCGCCTGCGGGGGGGGCGGGGGGGAAGGGGGGGGCAAGGGGAGGGGGAAGGGAAGGAGGAGATTGAGATGTTGACTCGCTGCCGTCATCCAAGGAGGAGGAGGAGGAGGAGAGGGAGGAGGAGGAGGAGGAGGAGTGAGGAGGTGAGGAGGGAGGATTAGGATGCGTAGGAGTGTGAGGAGGAGGAGTAGGATGAGGAGGATGAAGGAAGAGGTGATTGATGAGGTGGAGGAGGATGGAGGAGGTAGGAGGAGGATGAGGAATGGGGATGGGGAGGATGAGGAAGGGGGGAAGAAGGAGGAGGGATAGGACAGGTTCGGAAACTTTTTGGCAAGACGTCGCGCGGGTGGTGGTGAGGGGAAGAAAAGGGGATGATGGGGCGCGATAGGATCCCGCGCTCTCTATCGCGAAGAAGGACTTCCTCCACTACCCTCTTGCTCCTCCCTCCTCCTCCTCCTCCTCCTCCTTCCTTCCTCGTCCTTTGCGTCGTTCCTGCCCCTTCCCTTCTTACGCACACAAAGCTCGGCATCCCCGTCCCCGTACAAATGACTCTTCTCCGTCCTACTGCAAGTCCTCCTCCTCCTCCTCCTCCTCATCCTCCTCCGCCTCCTCCTCCTCCTCCTCCGCCTCCTGCTCCTCATAATAATAATAAGAATAAGAATAAGAATAACAAAAATAAAAATAATAATAAAATAATAATAATAATAATAATAATAATAATAATAATAATAATAATAATAATAATAATAATAATAATAATAATAATTACAATAATAATAATAGTAGTAATAATAATAATAATGATAATGATAATGATAATGATAATAATAATAATCGTAATAATAAGAATAATAAAAATAAGAATAATAAGAATAATATCAAAAATAATAGTAGTAGTAGTAATAGTAATAATAATAATAATGATAATAATAAAAATAATAATAATAATAATAATAATAATAATAATATCACTAATAATAATACGAATAATGATAATAATACGATTCCTACTCCTCCTCGTCCTCCTCCCCCGCTCTCCGTATTTCTTTCTCACTCCCCGCTCCGAGGGCACACCAACCGCCAGCGACGGCGAATCGCAGCACGCAAAGCACGCGGCACCTGGGAGCGTCGACGGCGAGTGGGGGGTCCGACGCCCGGCGTGGCATCCCAGGCAGGGCTGCGATAGGCCCGAGTCCAAATCGACATCCCCGGGAGCCTCTCTGGGAGTATCGTGTAGGACGCGTACGTGAGGCTCCCGTGGCGCTCAGCGGGATCTCGGGGGAGGCCTTTAGCCCGGAAGCGATGTCCCTGGAGACCGATCTGGGAACGTCGCTTAGGGTGTAGACGCGTGGCCTCCGAGAGGCTTCTGGGGGCCTCTTGAGAAGCATCAGGAGCCTGTCGGTAGCCTTTGGGGGGCCTCTGTAACACGTAGAGGTGTCTCGAGGGCCGCCTGGTCCGATTCAATGTCCCCGGAAACCTCTCTGGGAACATCGCGTAGAATGTTGACGCGTGGCCTCTTAGAGGCTTGTTGGGCTCTTTAGGGAGGCCTCTCGGGAGCCTTTAAAAGCATGTCCGGGCCGCTTGGAGGCTGGCTGGGGGCCTCTTTTTGGCACCTTGTGGGCCTCAGGCGACCTCCAGGAGGCTTCTGGGAGGCCTGGTGGTCTCGAGGCGAGATTTGATTTCGAGCTCCTCCTCGGGGGTCCCTCTTGGGGCCCTCTTGGGGCCCTCTTGGGGCCCTCTTGGGGCCCTCTTGGGGCCTCGTTGGCTGGGTCTCTCTTGAGCCGTCTCGGGACCTCGTTTGGGTCTCGTGGGCCGTCTTTGGGCGATCTTGTGGCCCGCTTAGTCCGTATCAGGCGCTGTTAAGACGAAAAAGCGAATGCGCTACAAAGGAATGCTTGTCCTAAGAGAATGGGACGATGTTGGCCTCTTGCGGCCCTCTTGAGGACCCTCTTGGGGCACGCTTGGACCTTCTGGGGGAGCCTCCTGGCCGTCTTGAAGCCATCCTGAGCGCTCTTCGGGCGCTCTTGGGGCGCTCTCGGGTCGTCTTGGAACCCTCTTGGGCCGTCTGGAGGCCATCGTGGGTCCTCTTGGAGCGCTCTCGGGGGTGAAAAAGCCTTGTCAAGGAGCGAAGACGGGCCCCAGGCCCCACGGGCTACTACATTCTGTACCCAGGGGTGGGGGGGGCCTTTGTCATTGTGTGCCAGGAGAGGAGGCCAGGGGGGGGCAGCACTCCGACATTATAGATCGACGTATGTGTGTATATATATATGTATAGAGATGTTAGGCCCCATTTCTATTCCTATGATATGTGTCCTAGCATAGTACGGATCAGATGTGCATGTATGGTCGCTACGTCTGCTGCGGCTGATCTGCATGTTTTTGATGCGTATTGCACCTGCGAGTGATGTGCTGCGTGCGTGGGATCTTCAACCGCGCTCGTAAACAGGTTACGGCTGCTATGGATTGTAAAATATGGAATGCACGCAGAGGGGCACGGTTGTTCGCGTGTGTATGCTATGCGCATATGCGTTTTACATGTGTCGTGTGTGTGTCTAGTGGCTGGATAGATTCTCCATGCAAATGCTTGTGCACGATGATTGCATGGCATGTGGAATCATGTGTATGGTCTGCATGTCGGTTATGGTCGATGCATGTGTTCGTGATGTGTGCAGCTGATGCTGACTCTTGATACACGCTTGTCACGTGCATTGTCAATGCATTGTGCTGATGTCGGCAAGTGTACTACTTATCAATGTTGAATGTGTGGCGCGTCTGGCATTGATGCCTGTCACTTCTATGTATGTCCGCACATTGTGTATCCCATTGGAGTGCTGTCCTCGATTCTGTCGAAATCGTAGGGGGCGCCACGCGGCATGCTGGGGACCATCAGGGAACATTGGGGCCTGGCGGACCGATGAACAGACTGGCAGTCTGATTCACGGATACCTAACACTCCAAACCGATCGGATGGGGAAGACAGAAGACAGAGGGGGGAAGAGAAGGCACGAAGAGGAAGGAGGAGCAAGAAAGGTACCGGATGGAGGAGGAAGAGTGAGGAAAGAGGAAGCTGCCAAAGAAGCAAGGGCAGACACACCAGATCCCAAACTAGAACAAATCTGCATGAGCCCACCTATCGCATAAGACAGAGCACGCATGTGCACAGCAGAAGCCACAAGCTTAATAATGAGAGATGGTGAGCACTGAAAGTGATACAAACTAGCTCGTCAATGGGGTCCACGGGGCATGGTCGTTCCTACGAGGCTGCGTTGAGCCGAGTTTGTATGCGGCTGATCCAATGAGCAGGAGCACTGCCAATATCACCGCGATGAACACACTGCTTGAAGTGCATGAGTCGTCTGGGGGTATGAACGCAAGCCCTAGTCCGAAAAACGAGGTGAAAGCACCGAGAATCAGTAAAGCATCTCTCCAATCTCGTCGCTTAGCCCGCAACGCAGCCCAAAATAATATCAAATACAATGACTGAGTTGTGGCTGCACAAGGCGCCGTGAGCCACCAAAAAGCCTCCGAGGCAGTGGTGCACAAGAAAAGCATTCCTAAGCTTGCCACGAACATACCTTGGAAGATAAAAAGGTGCGCCTCTCTCCGCTGCACGATCTCCGCAATGCCTCGGACAGGTCCTAAGAGCCAGGGCAAAGCTGCAGCGGCACCGTTTACGACGGCAAGCAAGCACGCGACGAAGAACGCCTTACTACCCCAACGACCTGTAGCAGCTCGCAGTGCTTTGAAAACGCCGTCGTTGAGCCCGAGGTCCTCTGGATTCACAAGCGCGGCCATAAGCAGCTGTCCGCCAGCATAGAGCAATATCACCAGCGCCATCGATATTCCAAGTGCTGCATTGTAGGCTCTCTCGGTCATGTCGCGCCTATGAAATGCCGATACCTCGATGCCAGCAAAACCAAAGAGCACGAAACTAACGCCAGGCTGGATTATGCCACCTTTCCAAACGGTCTCCAGCGCAGCTGCGTTGGCTGCAACACCAACGGCCATGTAGACTATGGGCAGCACTCCGACGAGTGTGAGCACCGAGAGGGAGGCCACCGCCTTGTCGATCCCAGCCAGAGCGATAGCTGTGAATAGCGCCATCTGCAAGAGCACGGACATAGCTAAGTAGAGACCAGTCTGCTGTAAACCGAACGCCTCCGAGACACCCAAAGCCACAAATGATAACAAAGGGACCGTGAAGATCATCGCGGCTGCCCACTCGGACACCGCCACGAAGGAAGCAGCGACGGAGCTGGTGTGCTTGGCGACCGCTTCTGTTAATGAGGTGGCCTCAGGGCTATATTTCAATAGCTCCTGCACCGCAGTCCCAACGGGAAGTACGCAACAAAAACAGGCGACGAGATCCCAGAAGACTGCTGCGCGTCCACCAAGACTCGCGCCAGATGAAACTAGCGTGAGGCTGAAAATCGTCGAAAGATTGAGCAGCACAACACCTGCTGTGCGAACCATTGCAACTCACGTAGACGATGCCTTGATGCGCTTGCGGACATAAACTGGAGAGCTCGGCCCCACTAGTGATTCTTGTGTGCCTCTTTCAACAACGATTGCCTGAGCCAAAAATGGCTGGGTTGTTGTTCCATCATGAGCACTTAGAGCCACCCTGAATAATTATCCCTGGACACAATGTTGGGCCCAAGCGAAGCCGCCTCGGGAATGTTTTAAAGCCGTCAGGGTAAAATTGTGGAGCATTTGGGAGTCTGTTGGGGGATACCTTGGATCTCCTTAGAGGTCCTCCTAGAGCCACCGTGGCGGACTCTGGGGCCATCTGGAGCTGACCTGCAGCTCGCTGGAAGCGACCTTGCGCCGAGACGTGAGCCGGCAAAAAAAGTCCCACGGTTCTGAACTACACCAAGCTTCTCCATGGGGATCAAGTGGAGCCATCCTTTGTGACTCTTGGGCCGTCTTCGAGCCCGAAGGAGCCGTCTTCGGCCACCCTGGAACCAATCTGGGCAGCCTTGGGCCCTCTCCTGGGATGTGGGTCGCAGGAGCCCGAGGCTCCCTCACACAGAAGATGCCCCCCCAACGTCTTCACTACCAGAGCGACGCCGCCGGAGCCCTCGACGAGGAAGATGGCGACGATACCGCCGGCGCCGACGCCAGCGACGACGACGACGACGACGACGACGACGACGACGACGACGGCGACGGCGACGACGGCGACGACGGCAACGACGACGACGACGACGACGACGACGACCACGACGACGACGACGACGACGACGACGACGACGACGACGACGGCAACGACGAAAAGAGCGCCAGCGGAGGCTGCGGCGACGACACCTGCGACGGTGCGGCGACGGCGGCGACGCCGATGGCGACGACCACGACCACAACCACGACGACGACGACGACGACGACGACGACGACGACGACGACGACGACGACGACGACAACGACGACGACTACGACGACGACGGCAACGACAGCAACAACGGCGACAACGACGACGACGACGACGACGACGACGACGACGACGACGACGGAGACGACGACGACGACGACGACGACGACGACGACGACGACGACGGAGACGACGACGACGACGACGACGACGACGACGACGACGACGACGACGACGACGACGACGACGACGACGACGACGGAGACGACGACGACGGCGACGACGACGACGACGACGACGACGACGACGACGACGACGACGACGACGACGGAGAATGACGGCGACGCCAGCGTCGGCGGCAACGACGAAACGGCGACGGCAACGTCGACGGCGACAGGGGATGAGGACGGAGGGCGGCGGCGACGTCCCCCGAGGGCCACGGAGGCCCCCTGGCCCAGGGAGGGCCCCCTGGAGGTCCCTGGAGGTCTCCGGCCCGCAAAGCGCCGAGAGCGCTCGAGAACACCCGGCGTCGAACCTCTCGAGGCCAGGGGAAGATCGGATCGGATTGGAGCGGCAGTCCGCGAAAGCCCCAGAAGGTGGAGACGACTGGGGGGGCGAAGCATACACAACTCCAGCCCTAGAGGCCAGAGGAGGAGCATGAGGAGGCGGAGGAGGAGGAGGAGGAGGAGGAGGAGGAGGAGGAGGAGGATGAGGAGGAGGAGGAGGAGAGGAGGATGAGGAGGAGAGAGGAGGGAGGAGGAGGGGAGGAGGAGGAGGAGGAGGAGTAGAGGAGGAGGAGGAGGAGCAGCAACACCTGACGCCACGAGCGGGAGTGCGCTCGGCGGCCTGGCTAAGAGAAGGAGCAGCAGCAGCAGCAGCAGCAGCAGCAGCAGCAGCAGCAGCAGCAGGAGGGTGGGGCCCTGGCGCCGCCACGATGCCGCCGCAGCTTCTGGATATCAGAGGCTTCCTAGATTTAGGTCGAGCATGTCCCCCTACAGGAGGATTTCGGCGGAAAAATCAAAGAATAGCCAAAAGGTATTCCAAAAATGTTCAAAAATAGTCCCCCCCCCAAAAGAAAAAACGTCTCCTGAATATTTTTGGACTATTTTTGAAGATTCCTACTGTAGAAGGATAGGCCCGACTTTTTCCTGGACGGGGTCCGAGCAGATGGGGCCGGAAGATCTCACCGCATCGCCAACCCATCGGCGACGCCTCGGCCATGCATCGCCGATGCGTCGGCGACGCATCGGCGACTTCGGCGCGGAGAAAATCAGGCTCCGCATCGAGCCGCATCGCCGATGCATCAGTGATGCGGCCAATGTCCCCGCACAGGGGGATTATGGCTGGGAAAAAATATTCAAAAAATGCCCGCAAAACGGGCAACAATAGCAAAAAAAAACGTCCCCTGACTATTGTTATACTATTTTTGAATACTCCTCCTGTAGAGGGATAGGCCCGACTTCAATCTACTCCGACCACATCTAGGAGGCCTAGAGACATGGACAGGCTCCCCGCTCACGACCCAGGCCCCGTCGGCGCCCATATAGGCGGCAAGAGCAGCAGGGGCGGAGCACGAGGAGCCCGAGGAGCACCCTGCAAGCTTTAGGTCGAGCATGTCCCCCTACAGGGGTTTTGGTCCAAAAATGAAAAATACCCAATAAACAGATTCAAACACTTTTTAAAAATGCTCAAAAAATCGTCCCCGTATAATACTTTTCGGCCATTTTTGAATGTTCCTCCTGTAGAGGGACAGGCCCGACTTAAAGAAGGCTGCAGCGCCGTGATTTTCTCACCGCGCGGGCTTCCCGCGATATCTGGACCCCGCCCCTAGGGGCCGTCTCTGTCCCGAGCCGTTTGCCGGGCGGCCCCGGGGCCGCCCCCATCGTCGACGTCGTCGTCGTCGTCGCCGCCATCGTCGTCGTACGCCGTCGTCGTCGCCGCCGCCGCCGTCGTCGCCGTCGCCGTCGCCGTCGCCGCCACCGCAGTCGTCGTCGTCGTGACTTTGCTCGCGACGCCAGGAGGTATGGCTTTCGGGCCACAAGTCTGGCCTGCGGCGGCCGATCGGGACGCTTCGGGCACCCCCAGAGCGCTCTCGACGAGGCACAGCTGTTGGAAAGCACCCGGTGCCCACAAAGCTGCCGAAAACTTCTGAGAACTTCCGAAAGAAAGCAACAACAAAAGGTCATACAAATTTCGACACAACAAACATTAAAACTATCCTGGCGAAGAACCCAACCTTCTCTGAACACGCGGCGACTGCGAATAGGACCGTTCAATACATGAGAACACACTGAGGGATCTGCAGTGCCCCTGCACTCTTCGCCGAAGAACGTCAGACCGCGCTCAACGTTGCCCCTTCACACATGTACTCTCACGATTCGAATCGCGAACGGGGGTGGCACAAAGCGCGCGAGGAGTGCGCCGAAACGGGGCGGGGCACCATGCGGACGCAGCCACTGCTGCCTTCGGTGGCGCCCCCTTGTGGGGCCACGAAACGTTTGAGGGGTGCGCCGAACCGGGGCGGGGCACCATGCGGACGCAGCCACTGCTGCCTTCGGTGGATCTCCCGCCGGGGCCACGAAACGTGTGAGGGGTGCGCCTACATGGGGCGGCTCACCGTGCGGACGCAGCCACTGGGGCCTTCGGTGGAGCTCCCTATGCAGCCACGAAACGAAGTGGGGCAGGTCGCCGTGCGGACCCAGCTACGGGGGTATTCGGTGGAGCGATACATGGGACCACGGAACGTCTGAGGGGTGCGCCGACATGGAAAGGCGAAGAGGACGAAGAGGAAGAGGAGGGGAGGAGGGAGAAGGAGGAGGAGGAGGAGGAGGAGGAGGAGGAGGAGGAGGAGGAGGAGGCGGGGTGCGGCGCCGCGAAGCTGCAACGAGGACCCCACACACCAGAGGGTGGGGAACAAGCTCTCAGAAATGTCAAGGTCACCTGACCTCGCGCCTCGCGCCCCGCGGTGCGCGAGCCCGCGGCGGTCCGCGCGCCTCCTCGCCGCCCCCCAGAGAGAGGGGGGGCAGCCGTGCTGCCCAGGCCGCCACGCGCGGAGCCCGATGGACCGTCGCGCCCCGTGCGGGCGGCCCGCATGCGGTGGAGGCCGTGGTGGTGAGAGCTGTGTGGCGGAAGCTACGTTCGGAGGCCTGCAAAAGGGGCATCAACGCTGGCGAGACGGGCGCCGCGCCCCCCCCCCCTCCTGCGAGGCGGAGGAGGAGGAGGAGGAGGAGGAGG